TTTTTAATCACTAGTAGTATCTGACGTCCTGCTTAATAGTCCTATATAAGAGGTATACATACCTTACACAGAAGTAGGCTTCTTGAACCTAGGATTACAGAAAAAAGAAAAAAAGTCTAATCAAATCCTTTTCTATGTGGCTAAAACATGAATTACTTTAAAAAAGAATTTAAAAAGTAGTAAATCTCTTTTATAGAGTGAAATATCTGACAGACTTTCAGTTTCTCAGTGTAGAAGATTATTTTAGGTATGTTTTTTGTTGTTAAGTGCCATTGAGTTGTAGAGAACTCATAGCGACCCTATGAATGAAAGACCTGAACACTTGCATAACTTTCACCATTTCTCCCCATTCATAGAGTTTCCGGAGGCAAGCTATTTAGGAAGTAGATGCCATATATGTGACAATATTTTTTTCCCCCCTTTAATAGTAATGCTTGTATTTTCATGTATATCTTCCAAAATAAAATGAGGTAAAATTTCCTTTTCAATGTCAATAAAGTGAGGCAATTTAATGATAATCATAAAATAAACAGCAGTATAGATAATATGCAGATATGAAAATATTTTTTAAAATGATGTGCAAATGAGTCAATTTCTGAAATCTGATATTATGGAAATCAGAAATACACAGCTATAACAAAAATTGTATAGATATATAAAATAGTGGAAATTGTGGAGTATGGAAAACAGAAAGCTATTTAAATTATGTCTATTACAAACTTGCCATTTTCTCTAATGAAATCTACCTGTGCTCGTTCCCAATTTCTTATTATCTGACACATACATACTGACTTTCCCATACTCCACACATTGTTATGCTGTTATGTACCGTCGAGTCAGAACCGATGCAGAGCTGACCCTCTGAATTTTCAGAGGCTGTTAATGGCAGGAGTAAACTGCCTGTCCTTCTCTCTTGGAGCAGCTGGTAACCTCAAACTGCAGGCCTTTAGGATTGCAGCACAGTTTCTTGCCAGTAGAACACCAGAGTTCCTCACATTGTCATGTTGTTGTTGTTATGTGCTGTCCAGTCGCCTGTGACTTATAGCGACCCTATGTACAACAGCCCTAAACCCTAATCTATCCTGTGCCAATCTCACTGTCTCTGAAACACCCACCCCAATTATCCCAGTCACTAAATCAATCCACCTCATAGAGGGCCTTCCCCTCCTGCACTGTCCCTCCACCCTCCCAAGCATGACGTCCTTCTCCAAGGACTGGTCTCTCCTTGCAACATGTCCAAATTATGTCAGATAAAGTGTCAGAATCTTTGCCTCCAAGGAGCAGCCTGGTTTAACCCTCTCCAGGATGACCCTGTTCATTTTCTTAGCAGTCCATGGTATATTCAATACTCTTCTCCAATACCACAGCTCAAAGGCATCCATTTTCCTATCTTCCCTAGTCATTGTCCAGCTCTCTGATGCATAGCAAGTGATTGCAAAGACTGTAGCCTGTATCAGGTTCACCTTAGTCACCAGATTGGCACCATTACTCTTCAGTACTTTGGAGAGGTCCCTAACAGCAGACTTTCCCATCACAATGTTGTTGTTGTTATTGTTATATGTCATCGAGTCGCTTGTGGCCCTTTGAACAACAGCCCTAAACTCTGCTCTGTCCTGTGCCAATCTTATTGTCTCTGATACACCTACCCCCATTACCTCAGTCACTGAATCAATCCATCTCATTGAAGATCTTCCTCTCTTGCACTGTCCATCCACCCTCCCAAGCATAATATCCCTCTCCAAAGACTGGTCTCTCCTTGCAATATGTTCAAAGTATGTCAGATGAAGCTTTAGCATCTTTGTCTCCAGGGAGCAGCCTGGTCTCATCCTCTTTAGGACGAACTTGTTTGTTCTCCTTGTAGTCCATGGTATATTCAATACTCTTCTCCAGCACCATAGCTCAAAGTCATCAATTCTTCTTTCATCCCTAGTCATTGTCCAGCTCTGTGATCCACAGCAAGTAATTGCAAAGACCATAACCTGGATTCAGGACACATCACCCTCCCCTGGAAAACTATTCCACTGTGACTACAGAATGCTGCAAATGGAAGAAAAGAGGCCCTAAGCCACAAGAAGTCAATCCTGGAGCAGAAGTTCAAGGGAAAGAACTTTTCTTCAGAACCATAGGAGATAGGAAGCCTTCCCTAATATTAGTACCTGGTATCTGGACTTACAGACTCCTAAATTCAAGAGATACTGTCCTCAGCATAAGAAATTGGCAGCACCTTAAGACTTTTGAAATCACAGAAGCCCAGAAAGCTTGAAATATAAGCCATCACATCAAGGGCTGGATAGGGGGAGATAGGTGTTAAAGGGAGGTGGAGCAGGGAAATGGGTGGGTCAGGACACAGGTGTCAAAGGTGGGGACAATACTGAATCTATTGGTTATTTCTGTGACTGGGGAAATATCTTTCATCTGCTTTTTTCTGTAAAATGCTTGTCTGTCAGATACTATTCTAAATCTGAGCATTCAAATTAAAACACACTACGAAGAAGGATTGGTCATCCACTTCTGAAATATCAGTCCTTAGAAAACCCTATGTACCACAGAGCCCACTTAGATTAACAGATATGGCAACTGAGGTGGAGCCCTCAAGTATGGAAACACATAATTTATGTGCCTTCTTTTTCACACCACCTGTCTCTCTTCTACTTACTCCAAAAAGTATTCTGGAAAATAAGTCAATGATAAATATTATTATAGACATAACTTACACTCTAATTCTTTTTTAGTTTCTAATTCATTTTTAAAAACTTTTTTCATTGTGTTCTTATTCTTGAGATTATATATAGCAAAATACATGCCAATTTCTAGTTTTTACTTGTATAATTCAGTGACATGGGTTACAGTTTTATGTTGTGCAATCTTTTGCACTCTCGTTTTCTAAGTTGTTCTTTTCTCCCTCATTTACATAAATTCACAGCTCCTGGTTCTTATCTCATCTTTCAAGTGCTCTTTTCAATTTGATCTGATAGAACTTTTTATTTTTTTATTTTTATTTTTTATTATAATAATTTTTATTATTTTTTACTAATTTTAAAGAAAGTTTACAGAGACCTTGGATTTCCATTCATTCATTTTGCACTTTTCTTCCTGCCTCCCCCTCCCCCTCAGTTCGCGCTTCTCTTTGAAAAGTAAAAGAAAAATTCTTTCATTGTTACACAATCCCCCTCCCCAAGTCCACTCCACTGTGCAGCCTTTGTTCTGAAATCCTGTCATGACAACAATACCTAATCATATATCCCTTTTAAACAGTTCTTTTCCTCATCTGTTTCAATGCAGTATGCATTATTTATCCCCTCTTTCTCACTCTCCCCTCAACCCCGATGTCAGTCCTGTTTTACAACAGTGGCACTATGCAGTATTTGTTCTTTTGTGATTGAGATATTTCACTCAGCATCATGTCCTACATTGCTACCCATTTTATATAATGTTTATGAGTTCCTTGTTTTTCAATGCTGTGTAGTATTCCATTCTGTGAATATAACAGAGCTTCTCTATCCATTTGTTTGTTGATGGGCACTTGGTTTGTTTCCAACTCTTTGCTCTTGTGAACAAAGCCAAAATAAACATAGATGTGCATATATCTGCTTGGTTGCTTGATGCTTTCTTTAGGGTATGTTCCCAGTAGTGGAATTGCTGGGTCAAATAGTATTTCTATTTGCAACTTTTTGATCATATCTAATTTTTTTATTTAATTTATTATTAATTTCAATGAAAATTTACAGAGACTTTGGATTTCCATTCATTCATTGTTGCACTTTTCTCCCCTCCCAGCCCTCCTCCCAGTACACTACCCTCTTGGAAAAGTAAAAGAAAAATTCTTTCATTGTTTTATAATCCCTCCCCCAGGTCCACTCCACTATACAGCCTTTGCTCTGGACTCCTGTCATGACAAAAATACCTAATAATTTTCCCTCTTAAACAGTTTTCTCCCTCATCTGTTTCAATGCAGTATACATTATTAAACCCATCCTTCTCAGTCGCCTCCCAACCCCTAGGTCGGTCCTGCTTTACAACAGTGGCACCATGAAGTATTTGTCCTTTTGTAACTGAGATACTTAGCATAATGTCCTCCAGGGTCACCCATTTTGAATAATATTGCATGAGTTCCTGTTTTTTTTTCAGTGCAGCATAGTATTCCATTGTGTGAATATACCACAGCTTCTCTATCCATTCATTTGTTGATGGCACTTAGGTTGTTTCCGACTCCTTGCTATTGTGAACAAAGCTGCAATAAACATGGGTGTGCATATATCTGCTTGGATGTCAGTTATGGTCTCTTTGGGGTATATTCTCAGTAGTGGAATTGCTGGGTCTGATCGTATATAATTCTTAAAAGAGAAAAATTCTCAAGACCTATTTTTTACTGTGTTGTTGTTTGTACCATTGAGTCAGATCTGACCCATAGCTGACTGACCGACCCTGCAGTGAGTTTTCAGAGCAGTTAATCACATAGGAGGAAATTATATTTTCATTTCCTTTTTAATTTGAGTGAAAGTTTACAAATCATATTGCTTTTCATTAATTCATACCTAGTTTGTTTTATAACATTAATTAGGATTTTAGTGTAGTTAACTACAATATCTCATGAAAACTTTATTGTGTATTTCTTTTCTCTTCACCAAGTTATTTGTTTACTAATTTTACTCCCCTCTCCCTCCCTTCTCAAGACACATTTTTTACTAGTCATACTAAATTTTTATTTGGTCTTAAGATTCCAGGGAAGGTTTTGCTTGTTTGTTTAAGGTTTACAGTCTAATTCATTTTTAAGAGAGTAAATTAGTTGCAAACATATCCTTAAACTTCTCCTAGCAAATAAATTTTAGCACACTTTATGATTGGTTGTCATTTGCCAGAGTATTAAGTTTGCTTGAGAACCAGTACTCTTACAAACTTGTTCTGACCTCACATATCTCTCTTGAGAAATCTGTCCTTTGAGAACTATTTCCTATATTACCTCTGACAAAGAACATCTCTTTTTCTCTTTGGACATACAGTCTGTTGGACGGGAAATGCTGCTCCATCTGATTGACTATCTTGTAAGCAATGATGGAAAAGACCCGGAAATCACTAAGTTAATCGATAGTACCCGGATACACATCATGCCTTCGATGAATCCAGATGGATTTGAATCTGTCAAAAAGCCAGACTGCTTTTACAATCAAGGAAGGTAAGGAAGAGCTAGTCTGTCTTTAGTTGAAAGTAAAAACAGGAAACAATCAAAAGTCCCTATCAGATTGTGCCTGTGGGCCCAGTCAAGAGGAACAAGATAACAGTGAGTATCTCAATGGCCCATAGCCTGTGGTTCTTTTGCTAAACTCAGAATTGCCCGTTGCTTTTAGACAATGTCAAATTCTGAGCTTCTTGCTTTAGTCCCATGCATCTTTACTGCTCGGTCCTTCATGACCCTGGCACCCTCCCATCTCCCCCTCAAGCCCCTGCAACATACCCTGTTGCTGCCCCTTAAGTCCTGCATCATTTCCTTGAGCTCCCAGGTTTTTCTTCACCTTGGGAATTTTTCATTTACTGATCCCCACACTTCATCCTCTCTCATTATTGAAATAGAGTGTCCTCTAAGATTCCTAGGGAGCTCTGGTGGCGTAGTCCAGAGAGAGTTGCACTGCTAACCCAAACATGGCATCTCTCTGGCAGTTCAAATCCCACAGGCAACACTTAGGGAGAAATATGGGCAACGTCCTCTGGTGCGAAAACCCACTGGGGGAGTAAATCAGTTCTGATTCTACAGCAGTGATTTTTTTGAGTTAAGATTCCTTCTCTGGCTTATCATATTAGATTCCCTATTATAAGCTCACACTAACTAAATTTTTCATGTCAGTTTTTTGTTTGTTTGTTTACTGTGTATCTCTCCAGTAACTATAAGCTCCCTAAGAACAGGATTCCCATCCATATGTTTTTGTTGTTAAATCCTTGATACCTAGTTTAGTTAATTAGTTCTTTATTAAACCACTGTTCCAAGAACTAATGAACTACCAAGTGGCTCTTGTATTTCTGATGTAAACAGTTTATATTTTTCTTTTTCACTTTTTACTTATTTTTTTGAGTGAAGATTTACAAATCTATTGGTTTTTCATAATCATAAATATTTTGTTTTATGACATTGCCATCGATTAATGTAACCAAATAATTATGTTGTTATTGTGTGCCATCACGTCAACCATGACCCATAGAGTCCCTATGAGTAATGGCTCTAACACACCTGACCCTGTTGCCACAGTCATAGTGTCAATTATAATGTCTAATTAACCCCTTTAGGGAACTCTAGAGAGGTAGTCAGTTGGAAGCTGTACTGTTAGCCCAAAGGTGGCACCACTCTGGCTCAAGGAAGACAGATGGGCAGTCTCCTTCCATGGGATTTACTGCCTCTAAAAACCTGCTAGAGGGTCAGCTATGTTTAGGTACCAGTTCGACCACAAAGAAAATGAGAATCAACCCTTTACAAACAGAGTTTGTTCTTGGGTCAAGGTGTCTTCAGAGGTTTGAAATTTATGTATTTAAAAAAAAATCATTGAAAATGTTTCCATTTTTTCCACAGTTGCGCAACATTTGTATATTTAATGCAAATTAACATTTTGTTTGCGTTACCAAAAATAAGTAAAACTTTACTTCTCGGTGCCCTTTCACTTTAAGTTTTTCTAGCCTGTGTCAGTGTGGTTACTCCACTTTCAGGAGCACAATTTGTATCAAGCACCATACATTCCTGCCGTTTTAGCCATCAGTTGCTGTGTAACAAATTGCTCCAAAATTAATGCCTTAAAACTACTTTTTCAAAGCAAAGAATTAAGGCTGGGAGCTGCAGAATGCCTGTTCTTCAGTGTCTGGGGCCTCAACTGGGGTCTGGGGGCTGGTTGGGAGAGCTGGCCCAAGGCCTTCAGTTTTACATCTCAATTCTGGCAGTTGGCTGGTCCCTTCCATGTGGACTTTAGGGTCCCCAAAGTGCATATTCTAAGAAAAGTCCTCAAACTTTTATCACTTTTAACACCCCATACATATTCTAAGAAAAGTCCTCAAACTTTTATCACTTTAAACACCCCATTCATTGATCAGAACAAGCCAAAATAAACCCAGTCAGTGTGGGAGAGAGACATAAGTGCCAGGAGGTTCCCAGAGGAACTGCCCACTCATCACACAGGTATTCCCATTTGGGAAAAAAAAACTTTCAACAAACCCTAAAATAGAGTTCTTTCTTTTAAAGGGAAAACGATAACCACTATGACCTGAATAGGAATTTCCCCGATGCTTTTGAATTCAATAATGTATCGAGGCAACCAGAAACTGAGGCCATCATGAAGTGGCTGAAAACGGAGACATTTGTGCTTTCTGCAAACCTCCATGGTGGTGCCCTTGTGGCCAGTTACCCATTTGATAATGGTGTTCCAGGTAAGCAGGGTGTGTGACCCCCAACTCTTGACTCTCAGGTCCTGGTTATAGCTGCATACTATCTGCCTCTGGAAGGTGATAAGTTTTCCGTCACCACTACTCCCACCCCAGCCCAGCTCCTCTGGCAGAGATAGCAAGAGTCTCCCCGGCCCTCACCCACAGCTTCCTTGGGATTTATGGACAATGGATGGGATTTGTAGACAGCACTCATGGTAGCAGCAGTCAAGCAATCCAAAGCCGTGTTGCACTGGGGGAAGTCTGCTGCCTAGGATCTCTCCACAGTGCTAAAGAACAAGGACGTCAGCGTAAAGACAGGTGCCCCTAACTCAAACCATTGTGTTTCCAATTCTTCCAGTGCATCTGAGGTTTGGCCAATGGATAAGGATGGCAAAAGAGAAAGAACCAATGACTTGATTCTTTGAATTGTAGTGTTGAGGAAGAATATCAAATATCCCTGGAACTACCAAAAGAACAAATAAATCTGTCCTGAAGGAAGTGCAATCAGAGTGCTCCTCAAAGACAAAGATCGTGAACTTGGCCTCTCTACTTGGAGCATGTTCTCATGGTCCCTTTAGAAAAAGGCATCATGCTGGGAGAGGTAGAGAATCAATATGAGGCAGACTCTACATGAGGCGATTGACACAGTGACTGCAGCCGTAGGCTGGACCATGGGGGAGGTCAGGATGGTGGCAGGACGGGGGAAGTTCCAATCGGGTATTCATAGGCTCACTATGAGTAGTAGTCGACTGGAGCGCACCTAGCAACAAGTAGGGAGTGTGACTGAGTGATCTAACAATCACCAACAGTATTACCTGACAATCATCAGTGAGATGCCAACATCGTTGAAATGCTAACAGTAGGGTCCCTAGATGTAATATGACTGAAAGAATAAAACTAGAGCAGTTTTTCTTTGCTAATCAAGTGAAGAAAAAAAAAACACATGCTGACTACTCTTCTAAAAACTGTGGGTGTGGAAACCTTGAATGCAGATAACTAAATGTGAGACATCTGTCTGCAAAGGTTACATACTGCATGACTAACTATATGATGTTCTGGAAAAGGTCAAATTATGCAGAGAGTTAAAAAGACCACAGGAGAAAGACAGGAGGGATAAATTGGTGGAGCATAGGGGTTGTTCAAGGCAGGGGATCTGTCCTGTATTTTACTAAAGTGGCTGGTGGATTCAAACTGCGTGCCTTCTGGCTGGTAGCACAGCTCCTTACCCGCTAGGACATCAGAGCTCCCTGAGGGAGAAAGACGGACAGTCTCCTCCTGTCTGATTTACTGCATCTGAAAACCCACTGGAGGGTCAGCTGTTGATTGGTTCTGATTCTGAGGCATATAGCAACATGTATCTGTGTCTGTTTGGTGAATTATATACCACAGACATGAAAACTTACAACTTCATTTAACCCCTACAGAACCAAAGTTTATTGACCTCCAGAAATTACCAAGTGTGACGAAGAAAAATATTTCATTGTTAACCTAATTGAGGAGGCTTCGAATATTAACGCAGCTATTGTCCTGTATGCACTCAATAAATCTAAACAGAAGAGCTGAGAGGTCAGTCAGGGAAGTGGCAAAGGATTTTTTCTGTAGGAAAATTAGAGCATTTTTCTGCAGTTTCTTTGTGTATTTGCTAGTATGAAGGTATTTTTTTTTCTCTCCAAAGCTGATTAAAAAGTCTTCTTATCTGTTTCAAATCCAGCAACTGGGGCATTACACTCCTGGAGCTTAACCCCTGATGATGATGTTTTTCAATATCTTGCAAATGTCTATGCTTCACGGAATCCCAACATGAAGAAAGGAGATCAGTGTAAAAATAGTATGCAATTTCCCAATGGAGTGACAAATGGCTACTCCTGGTACCCACTCATAGGTGAGTTTCTCTCTGTTTCTATTACGCTCCTTACTGCTTCAGTCAATGCAGCTAGATAGTTTCTGTTGAGCCCAGCAGTCGTCCGAAGATTTTTGAGCACAGTGCAGTCCCTTCAAGCATGTCTCCATCAGCTAATGTCACAAGACAGAGGAGGAGACTGATGGTCTGAGAGATGCTCAGACATGTTCCTCACTGCCATGCCCCCCCCCCTCATTTATTCAGTCACTTGTCCCTCACCAGCCAGGAACTGTGCCAGAGAAGATAAACAGGACACAGTCAGTACATAGGAAATATAGATAGGAGTACATAGAAGATAAACAGGACACAGGCAGTACATAGGAGAGATAGATATGCTAACAGATCATCATGATTGCAGTACATCCAATCATTTTTCTACTCATAGCAAGTGCTCTGACGTGACTGAATAAGACTGCCCCCTAGAGTTTTCTAGGCTCCAGTCTTTATAGGAAGAGACTGGCAGCTCTTTCCTCTTTCACAGTTGATGGGTGAGTGTGGACTGCCCACGTATTGGGTAGCAGCCAAGTACTTAACCATTGGGTTACCAGAGCTCCTGATTGTGTGATTCCAATAAAAATAGACAGTTATAAAAGGTACAGTATTCCGATGTATGGTGGGAGATGTAACCCAAACCACAGGGAGCAGTGGCATCCCAAGGAGGGTTATCGGAGATGTGAGCTATACTGGGTGACATTGTCAACAGGACACCAGAATGAATATCTGTAATATTTTTATGTAACACTGCAGCAAAAAATGTATTTTTTTTAAAGTAAAAACATCCCTATAATTAACTATAACAGCAAACACATACATCAATATACCTACAAGGCCACAGCTTCAAATTTTATTTTTTTAACTGCTTCCTCCAAGTAAGCCCTGAAAGTGTCATGTATAATGTGTTGAGCTTTCTGATCAGAAGATTGATGGTTCAAGTCCTCCAAGCACTCTGAGAAAGGAAGGAGGGTAGCTCTTCTTATGTGGAGATTGGCAGCCTCAGAAACCCAGCAGAGATTACCAGGAGTCAGAATTGGGTCAACAACATTGAACAGTGTTTGTAAAACGTATAGGATGAGGGCAGTGGTAACTCTGTGGCAGGATTTTTACCTCCCACCTGGAAAAGCCAGATTCTGTTTCCTGTCAGTGCACCTCATACACAGCACCAACTGTCTATTGGTAAAGGCTTTCATATCGTCATGATGATGCTGGAAGCTATGCCATCAGTATTTCAAATATCAGGTTGTCCATAATGGACAGGTTTCAGTGGTACTTTCAGAGTAAGATGAACTGGGGTGAGGGGAGAAGCCTGGTGGTTTACTTTAGAAACCCAGTGAAAACTCTATGAGTCACCTCAACTTGTATGACCCTACATTCCAGTCCACAGCCAATCAAAGAGATGATGCAAGAATGAGGAGTTTGCATCCACTGGGGCACGTGGATGCCATGATCCTGGAGCCAGCTTGATGGTAGCTAACAATAACTGAGACAGCAGATCCCAGACTTCTCTCTGTTGTACATGACCCAGCTCTGCCACTCCGCCCTTGGCCTTCTTTCTGCACAATCCCTGCTTCTCACTGCTGATGCTGGGGAGAGGGCCACCCCTTGTCCAGTGGCCGCGCTGTCCTTCATGATCACTGTTTCCATCTATAACAGTCAAGACAAGTCCACATGTGTAGGAAATTAGCTAGGCACCTACAGCTGCTGTGGGGAATTGTTCCCACATGTGTCTGTCATGTAGCCTGCACAGAGAAAAGGCAGGCGCGCCAGCCACCATCCAAACTTAGAACTGAGCCTCCACTCAGCCTGGACGGTGTGTGGGCAGGGCAGCCCCAGACGGCCTTCTCCGTACTGCACATCCCTCACAGCCAGCATCCTCGGTCCTGCCTGCTCTACATAATGCATTTAAGCAATACTTTGACTCTTTTCTTAGCATGAATTTTTTTTTCCTATCTCAGGACTTCTTCAAATACTCTGATGAAGTTAAGAACATATTCTTTTCTTGGCATGAAATCAAGTGTGACAATTTAAAAACCAGCAGGAACATCTTCCTTTATAGTTACTGTATTTGATCAAGTTTAAGATGCTTTTGATGGTTCTAAAGGGAGATCTGGAAGCCTGGTGGGTAAGCAGCTGTGCTGCCAACCGCAAGGCAGGTGGTTTGAATCTACCAGCGGCTCCACAGGATGGGCAATCTCATCCTGTGCAATTTACAGCCTGTGAAAACCCGCAGGAGGATCAGCTATGAGTCAGTTCTGACTAGACAGCACATAACAATAACAATAGACAATGAAGGGGTTTTTTTTTAAATGTTATTTTATTCCATTAAACTATAGCAATTATTTATTTACCCATCAATTATAAGCCACATTACAGTTCAGAAAAGTTAAAAACTAAAAAGATGTATATACTGGAAATATAAAGTGTGGTTATTACTCTTTGAAAATAAGGACGATAGAGATAAGAACGGGAAATGAGCATGAGCGCAGGTAGCCCCCAAGGCCTCAGAGGTCTGTACCTCTTACCTCCTGGGAGTCACTAAGCCATGAGCTTCTTTATCCCCAGAAGCAGTTTGATGTATGAGGATAGGTAAAGCCGTGTTCCCTGGCTGTTGCAAAAGTGGCTCTGCTGCTAACCTAAAGGCTCTCAGTTCATGTCCACCCACAGACACTTCAAAAGAAAAATCTGATGATTTAGCTACTATGGAAAAGTCAGCCATTGAAATGCTGCAGAGTGAAATTCTACCCTGAGGCACACAAGGCCACCAGGAGTCATAGTCCAAGCCTTGGCCACTAGTGGAGGGGTTGTTTTGTTGTGCTTTGTCTTGTTTTGTTTTAATGGGTAGAGCATCAGATGGCTTGTGCTCCAGTCTGCCATTTTTAGCTGAAGTCCTTGGGCATGTTCTGTAAAGCAGGGATAATAATTGCTATAAAGGATTAAAAGAGTGGATTCAAAGCCCTTCAAATCGTCCCTGGCAGAGTGAAACTCAATACTCATTGCTTTCAAGTCAGAACCAACTCATAGCTGACCCTTCAGTGGATTTTCAGAGGCTATAAATCACATGGAAGGAGCTGCTCACCTTTCTCCCTTGGATTCTCTGATAGATTCAAACCACCCACCTTTGGGTTGGCAGTGCAACTCCCTACCCATTAGACTGTGAGCACTCAGTAAATCGTGAGCACTCTCTTCCCCTCTGAGTGTAAACATGCTTAGAGGTTATTGCTGCTGCTGTGTATCGTCAAGTCAGGATCAACTCATAGCTGACCCTCCAGAGGGTTTTGAGCGGGTTTTAACACAGGAGTTGATTGCCCTTCTTGCTCCTGCAGAGCAACTGGCAGATTCGAACCACGCATGTACCTTGGGATTGACAATGCAATTCCTTACCACTAGGCCACCAGAACTTAGAAGTAGATTGTACAAATATTTTAAAGAAACTTTATTCTAGTCCCTATTAGTTTAAAATGTGTTTTAAGGAAGAAATAATCTGAAGAGGTTTTTTCCCCCTAATATAAAATGGCACATAACAGCAACAGTATAACAGTATAAAATAATGGGCCTTTTGCACTCTTAATGTTGGTGTTCTATTAGGCTTTGATCAGCTGTGGTCCAGTTACCCATGTGGAAATAGTTAAGATTGCCTGGTCCTGCTGGGATAGTAAAATGTCAGGTCCTGAGTTTATATGCTAATATTTCAGATTCATCTCCTTGATGATAAATGTGTTCAACTCGTTTATCCCTAAGGCAAATGACACTTGGCCCCACTCCAGTTGTAGACCTTAACAGTAATTAAATGTATTTGTGTTTTAGGTGGAATGCAAGATTACAACTATGTCTGGGCCCAGTGCTTTGAAATTACATTGGAGCTGTCATGCTGCAAATACCCTCGTGAGGAGAAGCTTCCATTCTTCTGGAACGATAACAAAGCCTCATTAATTGAATATATAAAACAAGTGCACCTAGGTTTGTACCCTGTTCTTGTTAATTGCTTGTTGATACAAAGCATTTCTTGTTTAGTGTCGTCCAGTCAGCTCCGACTCTTGGCGATCCTAACATACAACAGGAGACCCTCCCCAACCCTGCCCATCCTCCATCTCTGCTGCGCTGAAGCCCATTCTTGCAACCACTGTGTCAGGCCGTCTCATTGAAGCTGGTGGTATGTTCATGAACTTGGAACCGACTCAGAGCTGATCCTCCAACAAGTTTTCAGAGGCAACTGAGCAACAGCTGGTGGCTTTGAACCACATTCTTTCTGGTTGACAGCACAACTTCTTACCACTAGCCACCAGAGCTCCCTTTAGGGGGATCTTGTTCTTCCACAAGTTTATCTGTAGTGTGTAAGCAGCACGGGACCCATTGGTTCATGTAAGATAAAGTATAGAACTTGTTACTTTGACACAGGAGAGTAAATACTCAGAATAACCCCCAATTTCATGTGTTGAATGAATGGCCTGAAAATGTAGAGAGGAAAAAAAAATGAGGAAAGCAGACTATTGCTTTGTTGTCTCCCATTTAAAGGCCAAGTTTACAAGCCGCTTGTCACACAGCCCCAGAGAACATTTGGACCTTCCTCTTGCTTTTGCAGTTTTCCAGAAATAGGAAGGGGACTCAGCAGCATTTGCTTCAGCCGTCCAGCTCTCTCTCTATGGCTTGGCACTGAGAAGCCCCCCAGCTCACTTTATGAAGACTGTCCTCAGTGGCAGATGAGGCAACCAATGACAGACTGTCCACGATGACAGAGGAGGTTAAACTAAAAGTAGCAGCGGTGGGGGGTGCTTCTCAAACGTGCAGCGGACTCCCTCCTCCCCAGGGTTCATTAATATCAAGACCTTGAATGTACATTCAGGTTTGACCTCCTGCTGAGAATTTGCCTTTCCATCTCGGATATGCTGAATCATAATCTACGTTTTTAAAAGAATGAGGATCACCTGAGAGTCTGTAAGAATCACCTGAGAACTTTTTGTATGTAGGTTCTGATTCCCTGTATGTAGGTAGAATGAACTGGTTCGAAGTCCTACTTAAAGCATGACTTGCCAGCGCCCAATCTCAGAGTTCCTGATTTAGTGATCTTGAATTTCTAACAAGCTCCCAGATGCTGTGTTGCTCCTGCTGCTGGTCCAGGGACCACACGTTGAGGCCCGTTACACTAGAGAAGGTGCTCTGTTCTTTCCTGAAATTCCTCTTCCGTAAGCGCCACCATGGGAGTCACAGTGAACATAAAATACGCTCCATGTTACTGCACTGCTGCTTCAGTCTAGCTGAGGTTATTTGTAAAGTGCCCAATTAAGGTGGACTCCAAAGTAGCATGCCAGGAAGCATGTCAGTAGTATGAACAGTATATATTCTCAATATATATATTCTCATATTTCATCTCATTGCCATCAAATTGGAACCAACTCACAGCTGACCCTCTAGGAGGTTTTCAGAGGCTGTGCATTGCACAGGAAAAGACTCCATTTTTCTCCTGAGGAGCAGCTGGTGGATTCGAACTCCCAGAGCTCTGCCTTTGTATTAATAAACCAACTAGAAATGCCCACCAGAGCGCAGACACGATAATTGGCAGTGAAGGAGCTTTGTAAACTGTTGTATTCCCACTGCGGTGTTGTTATTATTACTGTTGTTATTATTAATTTGGAAGACTGACAGCTCCATTTATATTGAGCTTTATAGAGAACATGTCTCTGAACATTTTATGTAATGAAAGGTTTTAACTTGGGAAGGGGGACAGAACTTTTCAACATTTGATGGCAACAATTCACTTAAAAATATAGATCAATGCTGACCCCTTGTGGTGTAAGAGAGAGGCATTTTTCCAGTTTAACAATGAAACCTGTTTCAAAGAAATGACACACTATTACTTGATACCAAAGTCCTGATCATGCTGGCATCCAAACAGGTGTCAAGGTCTATTTAATTTTGCAAATGGTGGCAATAAACATCTCTTTCTTGATATTGCTCTGGTTAAAGGTAACCATTAAAATTTGCCAGTCTCTTCTGCCTTCAGTGGCTCCCTTTCACCCACTGCTCTAGTGTGTCTGACAATTTCTCCCAGCTGGTCCAATTTTGTAATGGAGGGAAAGGCCCCCTGCCCTAATGGGAGGACATAGCCAAGGAGACAGGGGCTTGATTAGGGCCCAAGCTGCTTTGTTATTTGGCTTGATGTGAAACCATAAGCAAGCCACTCAGCTGAAGCTGAGCTTTAAGTCAACTGAAAGTCTGGAGTAAGAATATATCTGCCCTGCTTCACACTAACCTGATGTGAGGCTCCAGCAGGGGTTACTGTTTCCATTAAAACTCTCTGCAGACCTCAATCTAAGCCCACTCCCTTTGGTTGTTTACTTATGCTTAGAGGATTTGCCTTGAATAACTCTGGGTTTAGTTGGAATGCAGTGTCTTTGGACATTAACGCCCAGAGAGCAAAGGGGAACAAGTCTGATTCTTAAGGAGCCTAGAATGTTTTGCTTGCCCCCACCCCCTCCACTGAAAAGCAAAGATAAGCACCACCGTTTGTTACCGGCTTCGTCTCTGCTTCTCCTGGAGGCAGGTCTGAACTCATGAGGCTTGGAGGTGATCTATGGTATATGCTGAGTTCAATAAGCCTGGGGAACACAATACCGTCAGATCAAAAGTGGGTGGCCTCTGTAGTCACTGTCCTAGCACTGACTCTAAATTTGGCCACTGGACACACAATTCCAGTTCTTGCCTCAAAATTAACACTCTCTCGGTTACAAAGTCAGTGTATTTCCAAGAGAGGGAAAGCTTTGCCTTTCTCTTAACCGTCTCCAGATGTGGTCACAGAATCCAAGCTTCATAGCATACGCTTTCTCCTTTAATAGCGGAGTTTTTTTCCAGAGTCTTACTTTTTTGCTCCCCTGAGGTAACAGCACTGGCTGTCTCTATTTGGATTCACCTGTCCCTTTACAGTGTTTCAAGTACAGCATGGGGAAATAAACTCTCTCGTCTGGTAAAACAATTACTTCTCGGTAAATGAAAGGTTTGGTGATGCCTTGACAGAATATTGTAAAAACACATGGGATCTGAAGAAAGCTTTTATTTGGCTGGTGGTATGGGGTCTGTCTTAAATAGGAATGCCATATTTAATCCGGGGTCTGTGTTTGCTCAGTTGCAGCGTGACAGACGTTCCAGTCCTCCATGTTCTACCAAAACCTTTGTTAGGCTTGAGTGAGAGTTGTACGGGAATGAGTCAGTGGGTTTTGAGAGGATGGTCCTGAAATAGCAAAATTCAGATACCCCCGCAAGTCAAAATGATCTTTCTTTTCTCTTATTTAAAGTTAAATGGTGTATGGGTAGAGACTCTGGTGGCATGGTCTGTAGGGTTTTCGACAGCTAATCCAAAGGCCATGTGTCTCCAGTTGTTGGAAACTACCAGCAGTTCCTCAGGGTTAAAAACTTGATGGTCACCTCCCATTATGATTTATAGCCTCAGTAACCCAGCTGAGGGTCATTATGAGCTTCGGTGGCCTGGTGGTAAAGAGCTGCTCTGCCATCCCAAAAGCACGAGGTTCAAATCCACCAGTTGCTCCATTGGGGAAGGATGGGTCATCTTCTCATGTGCATTAAGCTGCCTCTGCAAACCCACTGGAAGGTCACCTTTGGAACAGTTCTGACTCAGTGGTCCATAACAACATGAGTCAGAACCAACTCCATGGCAATGAGATTGAGACTATAGGTTAATTGAATCTTTGTTCACTTATAACACTTACTGAGAAAACAGCAAGAGCAACAACACAATAGCCTAGTCTGTTCTAGTGGAGCCCTGGTGGCCTAGTGGTAAGAAGCTTCTCTGTGCAATCCCAAAGACAGTCGCAGTTCAAACCCACTAGCTGCTCTGTGGGAGGATGAATCATGTCCTCCTGAATGATTTACTGCTTCTGAAAACCCAGTGGGGGTCAGCTATAGGTCATTTCCAGCTCAACAACACACAGCACCAACAGTGGTGCAATGTAAGCACTCAGCTGCTTAATAGAAAGGCTGACTGTTCAAACCCACCAATCTTTCCAAGGAAGAACAATACAGCAATTTACTAACAGTCTTGGAAAGCCTATGAAACGATCCTACTCTGTCCCACAGAGTGGCTGGGTTAGAACTGGTCTCCACAACACTGGGTTTTCTTTTTGCTCTTTACTAGCATCTGTAATCCATTACCTTTGATGTTAAGGAAAGGTGTAAAGTCACTTTCAAAGTCAACTTTGTTTTCTTCTTTATGAATTTGGCTTCTACTTTGTTTAAGTTGGTATTGGAGAAGTCAGTGGAAAATACAGAAGCCAACAAACACACCACCACAAGCAAGTATATTCCAGATCCGTGCATGCTCTAAGTGGGGGAAGAGTGTGTGCGACCTCGGAGCCCTGGAGAAGGAAGATCAGCACAGCGTCTTCCTTCACACATTCTGGCCCTAGGGAAGCAAGTTTGAATTAAGATTCCAGAAACTTGTCTAATGTTTCTGTCTTAGTTCCAGCGTTACTTTGCCACAGTTTTTCTATTTCTTTGCACCACTTTTTTTTAACCAAATGAGTAGAAGGAAAATACTATTTCTTTGGCCGGTTCTGGGTTATTTGCATTTAATCTTCACAACCATTCTGGGAAGAGAGAGGAAATTGTGTATTATATCCATTTATAGGTGAAAAGATCGAGGCTTGAAAATGTTTGACATAAAAACTGTGATTCTACTTGAAAACTATCTGTTCTTTCTGTCATACAAGTGTTGATGATTGATAGGTGATTGATAGGTACTTTGTTATCTATTGCTTGGAAATGTTATATCCCAGAACAATCAAGTGTTCTGGATTCCCATTCTTCTCAAGAAGAATTTTAGCCACAATTTGTTGTGATCCACACAGTCAACTGCCTTTGCATCATCAATGAAACACAGAATTCCTCTGGTACTCTCTGCTTTCAGCCAAGATCTATCTGACATTGATAGTGATGTCCCTAGTGCCACAGCCTCTTCTAAATCCAGCTTGTCTTTCTGGTAATTCTGTAGGTATACTGTTCCAATCACTTTTGGATAATCTTCAGCAGTATTTTGCTTGCATGTGGTATTAACAATTGTTGTTGCTGTTGTTGTTGTTGATTGCCTTCAAGTCGAATATGACTCATAGTGATGCTATGAACAAAAGGCCTGAAGCCTTTCTATAACTAGCGTCATTTATCAAAGTTCATAGAATTTCTAGAGGCATGTTGTTTAGGAAGTGGATATTAGTGATACCATTTAATAATTTCCCCACCTGGAAAGGGAATAAATATGGTTCTCTTCCAGTCAGTTGGCCAAATGGTTGTCCTCCAGACTTGGCATAGCTGAGTGAGTGCTTGCAGGGCAGCATCTGTTTGTTGAAATCTGACAAATGGTATATCCATTTATAGGTGAAAAGATCGAGGCTTGAAAAAATTTATAGGTGAAAAATTGAGGCCTGTTTCTCGCAAATTTCTTCAGAGCAGTTTGAAGTCCCTCCTTTATCACCATTGCCTCTTGAATATAAGTTGTTTCATGAAATTATTCTGTGTCAGCCAGTTCTTTTTGGTACAGTGACTCTACACTGCTTCCATCTTCTTTTGATGCTTCCTGGATCATTCAATATTTTGCCCATAGCATCCTTAAGTAACTGGTCATCACAATTACTTGCTAAGGATCAGAGAGCCAGATAGTGACCAAGGATGACAGAAAAAGAATTGATGCCTTCGAGTTGTGGTGCTGGAAAAGAATACTGAACATACCATGGACTGCCAAGAGAACTAAGAAGTCTGTCTTGGAGAGGTTGAAACCAAACTGCTCTTTGGAGGCAAGGATTTTGAAGCTCTGTGTCACATACTTTGGGCAAGTAAAAGAATTCATAGAATCACTGTTCACAAAGAATTGACTTTCAGCCATTTCATGAGGCACAGCATACACTGAAGAAAGAAGTCTAAGATGCACTAAAGGCATTGGTGAGAAGCTTTCTAAAACTATCACTCTGAAACAATCTTTAAATCTTAAACTAGTAGTATACCCTAAAGTACAGGGGTTTTGAAGGCTTTTTATTTCAGAAGTGGATGGTCAGTCCTTCTTCCTAGTCTGTCCTACTTTGGATGCTCAGCTTTAGAATGACATCTGACAGACAGCATTGTACCCAAATGAGCAGAAAAAAGACCCTTCCTGGCTACACAGCTAACAGCTTCAGTTGGTCACACCTCTCTCTGTGGAGCACACACAGTGGACCCATTCCCCCTTCTCTGCCCCACCAGCAGCCCCCTCCAATCCCTGGCCTCCTACCCTCAGCACCTCTCACCCCTCTCCCCCCAACTAACATAACCAGGAGATGATAGCTCAGGCCACTGGCCACTTCAGGCCATTTCTTATCTCTCTACTCCTTAGTGATGTTGGAATGGGCGGGGGTTGCGAGTCCTGTGCAGACTGAAGAAGGGGACCTGCCAATCTCATCTTGACTCCACAGCATGTAACAACAACAACAACAAATCATAAAGTAATCTTAAAACAGAAAAGTGAATTAGCTTGACTAGTAAAAAAATGTCTACCTTGAACTCTAAGGCTCAAGAACGATCTGTATGGGATCAAAGTGACAACAGCAACTTGAAAGATAAGAACTTTGGGAGATAGTGAATTTATGTTTATGGGGGAGGAGTAACAACTCAAATGAGGAGGAGGAGAATGGTTGCACAATTTAAAGAACAGTACTAAATGTGACATGTACAAACTTGAGTTGGCATATATTTTGCTGTATATTTTCTCATGATAAAAGATAAAGAGATTGAGATTGTTAACAGCTTCCACTTGCTTGGCTTCACAATAAACACTCTTGGTACAAGCAGCCAGGAAATCAAAAGACAAATTGCGTTGAGAAAATCTGCTGTCAGTGACTTCTCCAGAGTACTGAAGAGCAATGACATCAGTCTGGAGAGTAAGGTGCACCTGATTCAGGCCATGGTCTTCACAATTACATTCTATGCATCAGAATGCTGGACAATGATGAGGGATGATAGAAGGAGAATTGATGCCTTTGAGCTCTGGTGCTGGAGAAAAGTATTGACTATACATACCATGGCCTGCCAAGAGAATTAACAAGTTCATCCAAGAAAGGGTGAGAACAGGCTGCTCTTTGAAGGCAAGGATTCTGGAGCTCCATCTGACATACTTTGGACATGTTGCAAGAGGGACCAGTCTTTTGAAAGGGATGTCATGCTTGGGAGTGTGGAGGGACAGCGCAAGAGAGGAAGACTCTTGATGAGATGGATTGACTCAGTGACTTAAGTCATGGAGGTAGGTGTGTCAGAGACAATAAAGCTGTTGTACATAGGATCACTATGAGTCACAAGCACCTTGATGGCACATAACAATAGCAACAACATTTTAAAAATGAAATGAGAATTACTGTATAAAAGTATGTTTCCTCTCCCCTAATACTTCATTAGCCAGAAACAACTAACAAAATTTAAAACACAAAAATGTGTTATCTGCCTTAGAATTTGATGTTTACATTTCTTTTTGTCTTGCAGGTGTAAAGGGCCAAGTTTTTGATCAAAACAGAAATCCACTCCCCAACGTGATTGTGGAAGTCCAAGACAGAACTCATATCTGCCCCTATATAACCAACAAATTAGGAGAGTATTATCTCCTTCTTTTGCCTGGGTCTTACGTGATAAATGTAAGTATACAATCTTTATTGTATTCAAATACTATAGAATTCACAATACTTACCTACACGGAAAAAATCTAAAATAAGCCTGCAAAGTCCAGGAGAAGATAGAAAGTCAAGGCAGCAACAACAAATCCAATAGTAATCTTAACACAGAAGAGTAGTTTAGCTTGACTAGTAAAAAAGGTCTTTTTCCAGAACAAAAAGACAAAGGAAAATGAGAGGGATAAGAACAAGCCAGCTAAATTCATGCTTCCCCCGGCTCCTACCACTGGCAATTAGATTTTTTTTTTTTTGGTAGAGTAATTCAAGATCCGAAGTGATTTTATTTCCGTCACTATTTAAGCCAATCATGAAATTTCACAGTGATTTCTGGGCTAGGGCAGAA